CCTTCATCCACCTACCTCTGGCTCTCTTCTCATTTCCACAAAAAACTCTTTAAAAAACCCTTTCCCCTTGTCTTGTCCATCAGGGATTCTCCCCCTTCAGTCCCTGTGTTTGATTTTCACAAATCAAAGACAGGGGTCCTCTTCATCATCATCATCTCCAAGTCTCCTTCAGTCCCTGTTTCAAAGGAAAGGGGATGTCAAAGCTCCCCAACTCATTTTCTTGGGAGATGGATATAGCTCAAAGGGGGGGGGGTCCTGCATCAGCCCCCTCCTACCCAGCTGACCACCACCTTCTCCCCCAACCCTCCTGCTGCCCTTCCTACCCCTTGGCAGCCCCCCTCCTCCTCTTCCTCCCTGCACCTTCTTGGCCCCGTTCCCTCAGGGAGGGGGACGTGCATCCTTTTCCGAGATTTGTGAAAGAGGGAGTGGCTGGAATTTCCCTCCGGGAGGGGGGCCTTGAGACTTTGGCTCGAAAAGGGAAAAATAGGGGGCAGGGGAAGAGAGCCAAGTTATTTTTCTTTCATTTCCTTTTTTTACACCTGCAGGATTCAGGGCAAAAATGTGTATTTGTGTGTGTGTGGGAGCTTGCCTTGCAAAGGCTTTTGCACAGAGAAGCCCCTCCCTCCCTTCCTTCCTGAAACCCTTTGAGTAGGAGGGGGGAACATAGAGCTACAAAAAAGGAGAGAGGAGCTGGAATATGTTGTTGGACAAAAGACTACAGTGAAGGAGAAGAGGGAAAGCAGTTCAAATTTCCCAGCTTTTTCCCCCTGATAGAATCTCAAAACCCCGGCTGCAAGTCAAAGCAAAATTTTGAGAGCAGAATGGAGTAAAAAGGTTATTGAGGTATTTAAAGGGCACTGTGGATCACAAGCTAAACCTAAAGGTTGGAAGCAGTCTAGAATTAAAAGCATCTGCATTAAAAGCATCTGCAGATGCTGGCTGGGCAACTGATCCTGCAGATAAAGGCAGTTTCTGGTTTAGCAGTCTATCTGGGGGAGGCTTGTTGTGATGTGGATGTCTAGGAAACAAACAGGAATTTCCACTAGTGACACAGAAGCAGAAATGTGTTCTTTACATGAGTTAAAGAACGAGTGTGGATCAGTTACTTAAAGATTTAAATGTTAATGTAACTGAGCCTGTGCCTATTTTTATGGATAAGACAGCATGTATCCGTTTATCTGACAAAAAAAGTGTAAATGGCAGAAACAACTAAAAAACTAGTGTGGATCAAATAGATTTAAAGACCTGATCACACAAACACATATGTACAAAATACTATGATGTAAGACAGCCTGTAAAAGAGGGAAAACTAAAAGTTGGATTTTGCCCTGGTAAAGACCATATTGCCGACCTATTTACAAAACCTCTTCCAGAAAGAAGACATGTAGTTTTGTGGAGTAGAATGGGAATGTTCAAAACTTTATTTAGGAGGGGTGTCGAGATATTTGTAATGGACCCACAGAGATGGGGGCAGCCAGCCAGCCAATCAGCCTGAATGGGTTCAAGGGGGGGCGGGCGGGTGATGGGCCTGACTTCCCTTCTCCCCGGCCGGCTGTTCTGCTCTGTGCTTTTCTGCCTCCCATTCACACCTTTTCCAATCCAGAGCTCACTTCTTGGAAATGTCATTGGATACAACACAGCATGTTTCTCTCAATCTCTCTCTCTCTCTCTCTCTGTGTTTGTGTGTGTGTGAGAGAGAGAAAGAATGGGAGATCAAGAAAATTTGGTTCACAAGCTTTTTATAAGCCACGTGTTAGATAACTGGAATAGCTGCTGATCAATTTTGGAGGAATCCTTAAGGGGTCTTGGCTACAACCAGACACAGTGAAAAGAGGCCAGATGGCACTTCAGGAAAAATTAACAAAGAAACTTTGGGTAAAATCCCTTCCATCCTACTTCATTAATTTATTTAGTGAGCAGGGAGAACCTTTCATAGATATTTATTGGTAGAAAAGCTAATATCAGCCTCTGAGTCTCTTGCATTTGGGGGTGTTGTGAGCCCGACTGAAATGTGAACATTTTAAGGGCATGTTTCAAAGCTCTTATATCCCACGTCTGCAAAGGGACAGAGAGTGGGGTGGGAGGGGGGAGCAAGTAATGAGAAAGGCTATTGCTCCGTTTATGTACTGGACAACTGATTTTTAAAAATAAATTCAAAACCTGCACTGGATCCCAACTCTTCATTCACATGCAGCAGCAGAAGAAAATGCTACTGTCACATTTTTGACTGTGGCACAGGAGCTTTGGGCTCCGGACACATACACTCAGCCTGAAGACGAAACTGGATCCTTACCTGGAGGAACTTTGTTCCCAGAAATCATTTCCAGCAGGAGGTCCTCGCGCAGAGATCTTGAGCCTCGATCTAGACGATCCCACCCTCTGAGTTGGGGGCAATACAGGGCCACCTCCTGAAAGGACACTGGACGCGGGAAGGAGAAAAGGTGACACACGTTTTATCCTCCAACCCTTTCCAGGACGTGCAGAGAGACTTCCTTGCAGACTTTCTTGCCCTCTGTCCCCCAAACACTCCCGGCTGGGACGGGGGAACCGGACGGCTCCGAGAGCCCTTGCCTGGATGGAACTGGTACATTGTGGGTATGAAGGAAGGAATGTGTTGATTTCAGGAATTTATAGACAGTTTGTTTTAGTGCAACTGTTCTAAGGGGTTTCCAAGAAAGAGTGGCCCTAAGGCCCCCCAAGACCAACATTCGCCCCACAAAGAGGGCAAACAGGGCATTAGAAGCAAAATGGCAAAAAAGGGGAAGAAAACTTAACTTTTTAAAAAGGGATGGCTCTCTTCTCCCCCCAAAAAGGAATCTAAAAGTTCCCATGGCCAAGTGTACGGGGAAAATCCCTTGGTGTGGGGTGGGGGGGTCACCTGGAGAGTTGATCCGGAAGAAAAGAGGGAGGGGGGAGGGAAGACGGAGGAGGGGAGAGAAATAAGGGGGGGAGAGACCCAGTTACAACCTCTCCTTCCCTTTGGAAACCCCCCCAAAAAGAAGGAAGGAAAGCCAAAAAGGAAAACGGTGGGGTGAGTGGGAAGGAAATCCAATCCAGACATGCTCAGAGTAGACACGTTGACTCTTTTTGGGGTGTAAAATGACCTTTAGGTTAAAGGCACAGGCACACGTGGTACTACATGAGAAATTCAAACGGAACCAATAGAATGAATTAACAAAATATATTTGGCCAATAACAGGCAGGATTGAAAGGTATGGGTTCAAGGCACCAATCGTAATACTTCTCGTGGTCCCGTTTGAATTTCTCACGTGTGAGCATGTCTGGATTTCCCTTATCTCCCACTCACAGGGGTGTCTCTATGCAGGAGGAAAACCCTTCCCCTAGGATGATTTCCTGCACGCACACACACTCATATCATAGGGAGGATCCTAAGTTTTAAAAGGGAATCCAAAAGGCCTCGTGGTGAAGCATAGGGGAAAAATTCCTTGGTTTGGGGGGGGTCACCTGGAGAGTTGGTCCGGAAGAAAAGAGGGAGGGAAGACGGAGGAGGGGAGAGAATTAAGGGGGGGAGAAAGAGACGCAGTTACTGCCCCCCCCGAAGAAAGAAAAGCCTAAAAGGAAAGGGGGGGGGTCTCTATGCAGGAGGAAAAAAAAACACACACACCCCAGGATGATTCCCTGCACAGGCACACGCACGAGGCATGAAGGGGATCCCGGGGAGCTTCCTTGTTCCCCCCCCCCCCCCGGGGTGAGATCGTGACCCCCCCACGGAAGAAAGAAGGGGGAAGGAGGACAAAAAATGGGGCTCCTTCTTTCCTTCCATGCGGTCGGAGGAGCGTTGCCTTTGCTGCTCTTTTTCCACCGGGTGGGGAAGAGACCCTCCCTCCCCGCGCGGTCCCTGGGGAGTTGAGGGGGGGCCCTTTAAAGTTCATCTTTGGAAATCCCCTCCAACCCACAAACAACCACACAGACAGACTCTCTTCTAATGACCTCGCGCTTCCTCCTTCCGGGTCCTCTGGCGGGAAAGGGGTGAGGAAGACCATAGAGGTGGGAGAGAGAGAGAGAGAGAGAGAGAGGACGGCAGGGGCCCAGCTTCCGCTTATGTTCAAGGAGGGAGGGGACCCTCTTGCTCCTTACTACCTCTATGGTCCCTCCCCTTCTCTCCTCCCCCCCTTGCCTGAACGATAGCAACGGATTGGGTAATAAGACTAATTAGGAGCCCCTCCCCTTTGTCTTCTTGGGGGACCAGAAGGGCAGCAGGCGGGAGACAGAAGGGGCATTTTTGGGGGGAGAACAAGGGTATTGGGGGGGACCCCAGGTGTTGACCTGAGAACAAGGGTTTTTTTGGGGGGAGAGAAGAGTAGGGGGAGCAGAGCAGGGGAACACCCCCCCTACCCGGACCCTCTTCTTCTCCTCCAGGATCCGGGGGAGGCTCTTCCCGCTCCCCCTTGGAGGAAGGAACCCTTGGGGGGTCTCTCCATGTGGGGGGAAGGGTCGCTGGCGCCATCGCCTCTGTGGGGTCTCCCCTAAAGGGGGAGGAGGGGGCGCTCAGCTCCTCCCTTGTGGACCCTTTGCCTGGGGTGGGCAAGGAGGGGCAGAAGGGGGGGAGGAGAGCATGGGGGAGGGGCAGGGTTAGGGTCTCTTCTCCCATCCTCCCGAAGCAACGCCCCTCCCCCCGAGGAAGATGAAGAAATGGGGGGGTTTAAGGGAGAGTCCTTCTTTATTTCCCTCCTGGTGGAACAACCGTGGGGGAGGGGCGGATTGGCTTTGATCCGATTTTTTTCCACTC